CGCTTGAGCCCAGGAGTTGGAGGTTGCTGTGAGCTGTAATGCCATGGCACTCTGCCCAGGGGGACAGCTTGAGGCTCTGTCTCAAAAAAAAAAAATAAAATAAAATAAAATAAAATTAAATTAAAGGTAAAGAAACTCATCAAAATGCACTTATGATTTTCAATACTGCAACCTGTGTAATAGAGCCTTACTAAGTAATTAGTAACCTCTCAAATCTAATGTCATAGGAACTAGGAACACATCTGACCTTATAGTTTTAAATATTGCCTTTATTTTTTCAACTAACTTGAATAACTTTTATCCAACACTTATGTACTAGGATGAAAAAAAAAATCAATATGTGCTCCCCACTCTGTTCTAAAACCTCCCCTGTCCAATTACAACTGTAGAATCTAGACATAGGAAGAGTGATTTTTGTGAACTCACTTAAAGAACGTAAGTAGGTCTTTGTATTTATAAACTCTTTTCACCAAAATACTGATTGATCCTCATCCTGAGAGCAGTTAAAAAAAAAAAAAAACAACTCTAAGCTCACCACTCATTAATAACTCAATAGGAATATGGGATACAGCAGAGGCACTTCTGCTCTGTCCTTCTCTTTGGAAGCTTCCTACCAGGTGATAGAGACTTGCTGTGTGCTGGACCCAGTGGTTTAGGCTGGATGTGCAGATGGCTAGCTGTTCTTCCAGGAGGAACTTGGCTTTCATTCTTTTTACTCAGAGCTCTAGCTTGCTGCATTGGGCTAGCATTGATGGGGAGAGAGCTACTGCATTCTATTCTAGATGAATGCCACACTGTGAAAGAACAATGCCATAGGACCTGGGTAACTAACTAGTGTACACAAGCTCCCTTCAAAAGCCTAATCAGAACTCAAAAGCTATAGGAAGAACTCCCTCACATACAGATGTTGGACCTCTGCAGCAGAAATTACTCAAACTATTTACTAGAAATGAAAATTTCCCCATCCCATCCTTAACTTATTACATCAGACACCTTAAGGTGGGAGAAGGGAGAAAACAGAACTCTGACTCTAAGACAAACTCTAGAATAACTGATGCATGCAGGTTTGAGAACTGTTGTCCAGGATGTGACCCATGCCTTCTAATGGCATATACTCTAATGCCTGCAGATGCAATCACTGTGGATTAAGATTCTATGTTCAGCCTTCACCCAGCAGCATGGGTAACAGGACGAGACTTGTCTGCACTGGTTAAACCAGTGTCCAGGACAGGGATCCTGTCTGTTCTCACTGAGGTTCCTCATTCCCAGGGCCACACAACAAGTACAGGGTCATGCTGTAAGCAGAGCACTAGCGTAGTCAGGAGTAGACAGACCACCTAGTTAAGCTGTGCCTAGTTGGTCTTGGATCTCAGCAATCACATCTTCTCAAGAATTCATTCTCACAAAAACTACAAAGTGTCCTGCTTACCTGCAATTACCAAATCCCATGAGGTAAAAATTTTCTCAAACTAGAATTATACCCTGTTCCCTAAATCTTACTGAGAGTCTCAGGAGAAGACATGTGCCTAAGGTTATTCCTGGTGATGTTTTGCATAAAGAGCACTTAGTTCCACTGACTATGGTTGGGTAGCAATCATTACCCACTATGACAGAAGAAAACTGAGGTCACAGGTTAACTGGCAGCCACAGTGTTCATGTATGGTAATGGGTGGGGAGGTAACACACACAAATTATCTTCCTGAGCACATGGTGAGTGGATACGGCCCACAGGCCAAGCACCTTAGACTAACATTATTCCTTAGCTTACTGGGATACCTGCTGGCAGGTGCACTGGGGATGAACACAGCAAGTGTGTTGGATAACACGATCCAGTTGGGAAGTGAGTAAAGTGCATTTATTTTCTTCTGTTTGTTTTTTAATGAAAAAAGTCTCCTCTCTTCAAGCACCCAATGTCCACTGGGCTGAGAATGGGTGAGGTGAGGGCCAGCCCCACCTAGGAGAAGGTATAGGAATAGAAGGCAATGGCATTGGCGTTGTAGTCCATGGGGAGGAGGTGTCCGATGTGCCTGGCCCCTAGGCTAGCTGCACCCAGGGCAGAGGAGTGCCTTAGCTTCAGCAGGGTGAAGCTGGAGAACAAGTTCTGAGCCTGGATCTCTCTGCCCTGGGTCAGCGCCAAAAGAAAACCTGGAAGAATAACACAAGGACAGAGATGAGAGGAGACCAACAGCCAGGGAGGAGGAGGGGACGAAGATGCCAAGGCCCCAAAGCACTCCTGCAGAGGTGCTGGAGGAGCCCTCACGCCAGGTCACAAGCATACAAGGTGCACCAAGGCACATGGTCCCAGTAAGAGCTGTGGGTGCTGGAACTAGCAGCTCCCAAGAGGCCTGCCCTCCTCTCAGTTCCAATGGCAATGGGGGTGCTTGACTACTTCAGATGTCTAATGGAAACCATACAGCTGTCCGAGGTAAGACTGCCAGGACTGAGAAGTCATGTTTCTTTCCTTCTGGTTGGGATTATCCTGATTTGGGTTGTCACCATAAGTTATCACATGCTCGTCAGTGCTGTGATTTTAAATTAGATTTGTCTTTAACTTTTTTTTTTTGAGACAGAGTCTCAAGCTATCACCCTGGGTAGACTGCCATGGCGTCAAAGCTCACAGCATCTTCCAACTGTTGGGCTCAAGCAATCCTCTTGTCTGTTTTTCTATTTTTAATAGAGACAGGGTCTCCCTTTTGCTCAGGGTGGTCTCAAATTCATGAGCTCAACTGATCCAGCCGCCTCAGCCTCCCAGAGTGCTAGGACTACAGGCATGAGCCACTGTGCCCAGCCTACTTTTTTTTTTTTTTTTTTGCAGTTTTTGGCTGGGGCTGGGTTTGAACCCACCACCTCCGTCATATGGGACTGGTGCCTTACTCCTTTGAGCCACAGGTGCCGCCCCCCTCAATTAACTTTTTTTAAGTGGCCATTATTTATTTAATAAACCATGTAGAATATAACATCTTTTCAAGAGCTCAAGGAAGCTGGATGAGACATAATAAAAGGGCTCACAGGCAGAGCCGAGGGTGGGGGACTTAGCCAGAGGCAGCATGGCTTGTCCAGGCCCCAGGGCCCAGGTTCCAAGTTCTCTCCAGGGCAAGAAGCTGTCCTGGGCCACCTCCCTTCCAGCCCGTCCTCTGCCCTTACCCTCCCCTCCTCCCCTCACCCCACACTCACCTTCCTTCAATAGCTCCCAGCTCTTCCACACAGAGCCCACACACAGGATGGGGAGGCCCATCACCCCTTGGAACAAGACCTGGGCATAGAATAAAAAATGGATGCTGGGGGTTGACCAAGCCTCTTTAGTGCTGAAGAAGGTATTTTCCTCAGACCAACCAACCCATCCCAGTTACTCTCCTTTCAACCAAGAACCAGAAGAAGGCGAACTCAAGAAAAGAAAAAAATAAAATGGAGGAAAATAGGAACGCATAAAGGCAAGGGAGAGAAGAGAAAGGAAAAAGAGTTAAGCAACAATAGAAAGGAAGGAATGGAGGGAGGGAACTGGACAGGAAAATGACTGAGAGGACACAGCACACCACACACATCAAACCAATTTACTACATATGAATGCAAATTACAGCAGTCACTGAGGGAGGCACTTAAAGAACTTGCTTGTTATAGACATTCTGCAGAATATTTGATAGGATTCAACTTTCACCAGGTTTGATGGAGCAGTCCCATCCCTCATGAGAAAGGACCAAACTTGTCCCTTTCTTTCTGAAGGTGGCAGCTCCCCACCATCATTTCCCACCTCAACTCACCGGGTCAATCTCAGGCAACACTGCTACAACGTGTCTGCCCAGCACTTCCCCAGCCTTCATGAAGATATAACGGGAAAGAGGGTCCCCCTGCTGAGCACCTGGGGTAGGAGGAAAGGAACTGGTGAGTATCTGGGGAGGTACTTATCTCCCTGGCTTATCCCCTTCCTCTCTGTTGCAACACAGCAAGCACAGAAGCACCTATAACAGCAGGAGTCTAAGGATAGATGCCTGCCCCTGGCATGTGGCTGAGCACGCTTCCACTGCCCCCTCCCCCTCATGCCCTCTGGGAGGGTGCCCTGTCCAGAGGTGGCTCATTCAGACACTGGGAAGGCACCCCTCTAGAGGAGCATGCTGGCACCTGGTTTGTGCTCCAGCTTATACTGAGTTACCATGAGTCTGTCCCTACCAGTCTCTCAGCTCTGGGGAACAAGGACCCTGTCTGAGCAGCTGGCTAGTATTCCTGTCAGTGCCCCCCACCCACCTCCACCAGTCTGCTGCTGGTTGGCCCCTTCCTGGCTCTTCTGGAGAGACCTCCGTCCAGCAGTATCTAAGAGAGCCCTGGGAAGAAGTCCTGAGGGCTCAGCAATCCAAATTAAGACGGTATGGTATGGACTTTAACATACCACAGAGAATGAGCGAGCAGCGTGTAGACACACAAGCTCTATGTTCAGGTTCTCTTGACACCCAACAAACTCTGCCCAATCTTTCTATAATCCACTAGTTCTCTGAGTATGATTAGAGTAAAAAAAAGTTACAGGTTTGTCCAAAAGACAACTACTTCATAAATTTCTCAGAAACAGGCATAACGCCTATATAAGCCATGACTGATGCTAAGGAGAGAAATACAGATAATACAAAACAACTGTCATCAAAACCCACACACTCCTCTGTCTCCAAGGCCCACCAGCACCAAGAACAGTGGTGGCAGAGAACTGAGGTCACTTGGAGAAAAGAGAGGGAAATAGGTGTCCAGGTCCATTTGGACCCCACCCCACCCCCAACTGGGGAACAAGGCCAGATAAAACCCTGCCCCACCACCAGTACCTTCTGCAATTTTTCGGCAAAACCCAGCAAATCTGCATTTATCAAAGTCTCTATACAGGTGAGTGAGTATTCCCAGACGATCTGGCACCTAACAGACAGAAAGGGCACAAGACAGTCAACAGAAGCAAAATAAAATCCCCCATCTCTTACCCAAGTGGACTTCCTAATGTCTCTACTATCTAAAAAGCTAGAATAGATTTTGGGGTCTTTTTAGCTCCAGAAAGTACAAAGATTTGAGATTTCCCATTTGAGAAAAGTTCTTTGTCTTCCCCAACAATGAACTTCATTGCTTCTTCCAGATTAGTCAGAAGGCAGCACAGAAACAAATCTGTGTTCACCAAAGTATACTATTTAGTTCCTTGAAATTTCTTGAAAACATTTCTTTGGTCAAGGAAATCTAAGGAATATTACATACCATAACTCTCTCTCAAAGAGTCACAATGCACATTGGCAAACTAACAGTTCTGAGAAGTCCTGCCACCAAGAAATTCACATTTCTCTCAAACTTAACTGAACACAAAAGATCCTTCTTCCACCCCAACAAACTTACCCACGTTTAACACCCGAGGAACCAATACTTCCCCACAATACATTTTCATAAATGGAATGGCAATATACTAAGCATTTCATATGTCATTTGATTTCATCTTTGTAACAACTTTTTTTTTTTTTTTTGACAGGAGCCCCAAGCTGTCCCCCTGGGTAGAGTGCCGTGGCATCACAGCTCACAGCAACCTCCAACGCCTGGGCTCAAGCGAGTCTCTTGTCTCAGCCTTCTGAGTAGCTGGGACCACAGGCGCCCGCCACAACGCCTGGCTATTTTTTGGTTGCAGTCCTCATTGTTGTTTGGTGGGCTGGGCTACATTCAAACCCGCCACCTTGGGTGCACGTGGCTGGCGCCTTAGCCACTTGAGCCACAGGCACCAAGCCTTCCTGCTAATTTTTTTTTTTTTTTTTTTTTTTTTGAGACAGAGTCTCAAGCTGTCACTGTGGGTAGAGCACCATGGCATCATCCTAGCTCATAGCAACCTCCCACTCTCAGGCTCAAGTGATCCTCTTGCCTCAGTTTTTCTATTTTTAGTAGAGACAGGGTCTTGCTCGGGGGCTAGTCTCAAACTCCTCAGCTCAGGTAATCTACCCGCCTCAGCCTCTTAGAATGCTGGGATTACAGGCGTGAGCCACCATGCCCAGCCTTTGTAACTTTTTAAGAATGACTAAAGGATAGAGAAGAGCAGTAGACATAGAAGCAGAGTTTAGAACCAGGTGGCTGAGTCTGGACAGCTTAACTCCACTTCTTACAGCAACTGCTCTAGAAGTGATTTCTCTCCCTGGCCCCTGCTATTCCTCACCTTGGCCCAGGCCAAAGTTCCTCTTTAACCACCAATTTCTCAGCCCTGAGAATACAGGTACTACTTTCCGGCATCTCTAATCTCCTTCCTTGACCCCCAAAGACTAACTGACATCTATCAAAAAAATGTATCTGCCTTTCCTCTCCCTTCCACCTCCTCTCCCACCCTTTACTTCAGGTTCTGTTAAAGGCAGCTGTTTCCTAGCTCACCACAAATGAGCACAGCACAGACAAGGATTCAATCCCCAATACCCTGAGCAGAAGACTGCAACTCCCCAGATCTCTCCCAGCCCATCTCTTAATGGGCTCTCATGACCCATACAAGTCAGAGGCAGCTCTCCATCTAAGGCACTTGTTCAGATTCTGCCTGCTGCCTCTGTGCCCTGACCTTACCCTGCATTTTTTATTCTAGACTAGAAAGCCAACTATTTTCACTTCCCAGCATGTTCTAACTACCCAAGAATGAAGTCTGACTACCCCTCTGTCTCCAGACTACCCCTTCTCCTCCTGTCACCTTCCTGGAATGTATTATCTTTGTCATTCTGAATTTTGTTCTCACCTACAACTTCTCCACCTGCAGCTTTGATCCACAATGCACCCTGACTTCCCTCTGGTCCACCCAGTCCCTCCCCTACATCTACTTCTGCTCCAAATTTCTCACTGTCCTATCCAAGGTGTGTGTGTTGACAGAGGGTAGGGACATACCTGGAAATAGTTGAACATGGCCTGCTTGACATAGCCAATATCATGAGGAGCCACCTCTAGGTTGTCAATGGAGTCAAAGACGATTTTCACTGCTTTGTGTGCAATCCAGTAAGCTGCAGAGAGCAAAGAGGACTAAGAACATGGGAACAATCTCCATGAGCTCACCAGGAAGGAAGCTCAGACCTACACAAGGTAAATACTCTATTAGTGTTTTATAGCAAATTAAGTTTCCTGAGTGGCACCTGTTGCTCAGTGGGTAGGGTGCTGGCCCCATATACCAAGGATGGAGGGTTCAAACCCGGCCCCGGCCAAACTGCAACAAAAAAAATAGCCAGGCATTCTGGTGGGCACCTGTAGTCCCAGCTACTCGGGAGGCTGAGGCAAGAGAATCACTTAAGCCCAGGAGTTGGAGGTTGCTGAGAGCTATGATGCCATATCACTCTACCAAGGGCGAGAGACTCTGTCTCTTATTAAAAAAAAGAAGTTTCCTGATTCCCAGCATGGAGGGAGGGGTGCCTCTAACCAAACTGTATCTGATTAACCAATGTAAAGGAAAGCTAGAGGGGGAAAACAGAATAGGTGAGGCTGTGTCACACTAGCTGCCACTCAAAGATAAGATAAAGTCAATCATCACTAATGCCACTGGAGTCAATGCTATGAGCTGGAACCCAAGGCCCCTATGAAAATGTACAAAGAGGCAGTAGGAGTAGCATCTGCAGCCCTTTCCCTCTAGCAGACCAGAATGGCATCTCCTGGCAGCTATGGACTTAACCCACAGAGTTTTAACTCCTAAAGACTCCAAAAGTCTGAATCCCAGGTGCAAGTCACAGCTGAAGTACAAGGGCAACAGTAGGTCTGGCATTTGCCTCTCTATTATCTTCCAGACATCATGCTAAGCTTGGATTAGTCAGGTTCAGAAGCTATCCCCAGAGATCTCCAGAAAGCAGGCCAAGGGCAGGGAGAGGAAAATGGGGAGCTGAAGGAAGGGGAGGTCCAGGACCCTGAACCAGGCCCAGTCAGTGTGAGGTCACCTGAGCCTTCGTCTCCCATCATATGGCCCCAGCCGCCACATCCACGCTCAGAGCCATCAGGGTTGATGAGCCTGCAGGTGGAGCCTGTTCCAGAGATGAGCACGATCCCACCTGGGGAAAGGACATGGGTGGCTTAATGTGGCCAAGGCCTTGCACAGAGAAATAACTTCCAACTGTGGAAAGACAGGACAGAAACCAACCCCAGGCAAAGGGATCACCACTCAGTCTCACAGAGGAGAAAACTGAGCCCAGCTAGTTTCCCACCTGACGGTGAGGGACAGGGTCTCAGAGAAACACCAATCACATAGCGCCCTTCTCTGGAGGATAAAGAGGAACACAAGTCTGCACCTCCTTATCTAGCCAGTCTTCTGCACCTCCTTGTCTAGCCAGTCTTCAAGGGACTACCTGCGTTACTAAGAACCTCCTGTGTGCCAGGAACTGATACTCGTTCAATACCCTAAACTACCTTACAAATACAATTGCCCCCATGTCACAGATGAGGAAATGGGAACTCAAGAGAGTTCCATAATTTCTCCAAGATAGTACAGCTGTCAAAAGAGGAGCTGGAATTCAAATGCCAATCCTGTGACGCCAACATCTTTACACTATCACAGAGATTTCTCTCCTCCGTACTCACAGCTCCCCTCTGCCGCCCGCATCACTGCATTGCCCCCAGGAGCTCCCTGTTCTGCAGTGGAGTCCCATGTTTGACTCCACTCCTCACTTCCCATTAAGACACCTTTGCTGCCCTCCCTCCTTCTGCCTGGTCCTTGCTCTGGCAGGAATGTAAACTAATGAAAGGCAAGTCAAGGGGCATATGACAGAGGCTGCCTTCCAGATATCTGCAAGGTAAGTTTTACCAGCTACAGCCAAGGGGCTTTCCCAAGAAAACCAGTTCTCAGTCTTATCCCTCCCTCCACCTCCTCACCATCCGGCGTAGCTGTGGCGATGGAGCCGGCGGCATCAGTGGTGATTAGGTAGCTTTCACTCAGGTAGGGAAATCGGTCCCTCAGCTCCTCCATCAGGATCCTCACCGCATCCTCCTGATCCCCACCGCTCAGGGATAGGCCCTATGCCATGCGGGAGGTGAGCCAGCATGCAGAGCCCTGGACCCAGCTCTACTCAGCCCCTCCCCTCTTGCTGTCTGACTCCTACTCTCCACACCTGGCCATGTCCTACTCATTCAGCCCCAGTTCTCCTGCCACCCCACACAAGGGCCCCTCAGAAGGCTGTGCCTGCAAGAACTGGGACTAGGGATAAACAGAGTAAGATGCGATTCAAGTACCAGGCTTGGAACTTGGGAGGACAGTAGAGCTCTCAACAAAAGACCAGGCAGAGGAGTGAGGTGAGGGGAGACAGGGAGATGAAGAGAGAAGCTTAGTTTGGAGTGCTTGGTGTCTGGCTATGACTGCAGAGCATCTCACTGGTATGTCCGGGGAGTAACCAGAGCGACACCAACTTGGAAGATTTGAGTTGGAAATAACAATAGCTAACATTTAATAAATGCATATCGGTCAGCTCTGTTAATAACCTTGTGGAGATAGACCATATCATTTTACTTTCCCAACAACTCTGAAGTAGCTACTACTACTAACATTTTCCAAATGAGAACTGAGGCTTAGAGACAGAAAGTAACCTATTTAGGGTCACACAGATGTTAAGTGGCAAAGCTGGGATTCAAACCAGGGTCTCAGTACCTCTGCAAAGCCCTGTACTCTTCCAACACATTTGTGGCTTGTAGGTTACAACTGAAGCCAATAAAGTGGGTGAGATTATGAGAGTTTTGATACCAAGATCATCCAAACTTGGCTACCATTCTCCAGTGTTGCTTATGGTTCAACTCCCAGGTTCTATCCCAGACTCACCAAGCTTCGTAGAGGTACCAGAGGATCCACCCCTGCTTTCCGTTTGGCCTTGTGCACCATTTCATTGATCCGCTCCACACACTTGTCTTTCCCGATCAGCTGGCCCCAATCAAGGGAAGGAGGAGTTACAAAAGCTTACAGGACCTGTTTGGCCCCTACCAGCTGTCCTATGAGCCCCAGCCACCACCTCAACAGGAGTGACAGAGAACAGGATCAGAACCAAGACCTCTGGTCCCCTTAGTGTAGCTTTTACCCAGTGGTTGGTGCTCAGTCCATCTGCTTCTGCCAGGATCTGTCCATCCTCCGAGAGTAAAAGGACCTTGGATTGTGTGCCTCCCCTACAGAACACAAGAGGGCAGTCAGTCCTCTGTGGTTTGGTGTTTGCTGTGCTCTTTAACTGAAACACAGTTCTCCTTCTTCCCTTGGGGATGTCTTCCCTATTCTGCAATACCCTCCTCATATATCACCTAGTCCTTGAAACCTTTTCTAATGCATGGCCTAGCCCCCCCCCCCAATTAGTTAAGGCTCCATTAGTTAAGCCTTCACAATGCCTCCAAAGCTATTAAGACTCCCCTACAGTGGCTTGGCGCCTGTGGCTCAAGTGGCTAATGTGCCAGCCACATACACCTAAGGTGGCGGGTTCGAATCCAGCTCGGGCCTGCCTAAACAACAATGATGGCTGCAACCAAAAAATAGCGGGGCATTGTGGCGGGCGCCTATGGTCTCAGCTACTTGGGAGGCTGAGGCAGGAGACTCGCTGGACCCCAGGAGTTGGAGGTTGCTTTGAGCTGTGATGCCACAACACTCTACCCAGGGAGATAGCTTGAGGCTCTGTCTCAAAAAAAAAAAAAGACTCCCCTACAGTAAGAGTGAGCCCAATTGTTTTGTGTCTGCCTTTCACTAGACTATGTGTGCAATGGATCATTTATCTGTCCTCAAAATGAGCACAGGGCCTGGCACAGGCAACACTCAGTAAACCACTGCTAAATGAGAATGGTACATCTTTCTGCTTATCTCACAATGGCCAAAGCTGCCTAGGCCTTCAAGACACCCTTGTGAGAAATGCTTACATGGCAGGGAGAGCTTACATATAAGCAACTAACTCTCAAATGGTGGTTAGTGGGGGACATGGTAGATTAGGGGGAGAAATGTGATGGTGGGATGTATGTTTCTTTATTGATTACGTTTAGGAATGGCAGAAGAGGAAACTGAAGACCTGCTGATCAAACTCAAAGATGACATGATGTTTGAAGGGACAGTTAATGCACGAGGTGGCAGACTCAACATCCAAAAAGAATCTCTTGACAAACTGAAAAGTGGGTCATATCTTACAGATGACTGTAACAAGGAAGAATGCAAAGTCCTATACCTAGTCTATTTTTTAAAGGGATATGGATATAGCATGGGGGAGATCAATGAGTTCGTTTGAAAAGACTATGGGGGTCTGTGAGTCAGCATAGGATGTGGCTGCCAGAGGAGTGAATCCAATCTCAGATTCCAAGGTACCCTGCCCTGAGGGTACAGCCACCCTGATTTGACACACCAAGGTTCACAAAAGTTGTTACTGGCAGGGACTTGGTGATCACCTTGTTCAGCTTCATCTTGCCCACTGTCATATCCAGACGCAGAGCTATTACAAGCTTCGGAGCGGGGAAAAATTCAAGAACAGAGGGTTCAATCCAGTGTGAGAAGCAGGAATGGAGGAATTTGAGGCTTCAGGACAAGCTGGTATTCTGGGTCGGAGCTGCTCCATCTCCCAGACACTCCCTGCAAAGACCTGCGTCCCAGCTTACGCCCCTCTCCCACTCCCCACTAGCAACTTCATACCTGACATCAGTTCTGGAAATCTCTCCCCGGGGTGAGGAGAGGAGAAAAAGAGTTTGCTTCTGCGGAGTTAGTCGTTCGTGAAAGGGGCGTGGTTCCACCGTGAAACACAAAAGACACACCCACCCCCCGGGGTGCGGCAGTAGCACGCTCTGAGCCTCTGCAAGCGTAACAGCGGCGAGCACAAGGGTGCTTCGGAGCGTGCACACGCCTCTCCTCTGCAGGGCCTCCAAGCCCCAAATTCCAAAGTGGCAGGACTCTGAGGCGTGATGCCACCAGCTTGCCAGCCTGGCCACATCCTTCCACCCCACCTTCAGGCCTGGGATGCCCCAGGGGGCCCCTCCCAGGATCCTTCCGGGTCCGCACTCACCCCTCTACTCCCCCGTAGAGCGCAGCCATACTACTGCCACTGCTGCCGCGGATCCCGCCGTTTGCTTCACTCTCCACAGCTGCTTCCCTCTAGCCTGCTCGGCACCGCCCCGTGTCTCGTGACCGCTCGGCCTGTACTGCTGACTTCTACTGCGCGTGCTCCGGACGTGGCACGTGACCTTCACTAGTCCCAGGATGGCCAGGGCGCAGAGTCACCTCTGGGCTGGGTGAGTGGGGTCCGCACCGGCTCCTCCCGACCCCGCTCGGCCCCTCCCCACCGCGAGCCTGCTTCCCAAGCGGGGGAACCAGAAAGGGATGTTGGGGTTGGACCCTCTGAACTCTTCACTGCCTTACCCGCAGCTCAGCTCCCGGAAGTTGCTGGCAGCCCCGCCTGGCGCGTGCGCCTTGCTCCTGGGCCGTGTAGGTGTGACCCGCACTGTGACACAGGCTTGGCGGGACCCTGCGGAAATGTGGGATTGAAAAGCTGCGCGCACAAACCTAGGCACCCCACTCCTCCCCGGTGACATTAAACTTTATGATAGTTTCTGCAAAAATTACCGTAATGTTCAATGACACGTCTGTTTGGCGATGGCGAAAGTCCCACGTACACGGGCAAACACCGGCGCAGATTTTTTTACACTGTGCTCGTGTGAATATTCGTAACCGAGAGAAACTAGAAGTCGGTAGGGAAAGAAGAAAAGCCTCCAGGCTATCATGGCAGCTCTGAGAGGGAACGTTCAGCTATTTCTACGCACTCAGTTTAGTTCTTTTTGGAAGCTATTTGCGGGGAACATAGACTACCTGCCAACTAGCAGATATGGTTTTACAAGTTTTTAGTTGCTTTCCACCCTCCACCCTGCACCCTTTCCTTGCAGTGCATCAGGAAAGGGAATGGGCATCCGAAGAGGGAAAATACTGGCCAAGTGTGGGAGACAAGCTGGGGTTCCTGCGGCGCTTCCCCCGGGGAAATTCGGGGAGGGCCGCCAGCTGCTCTTGGCTTCTCTTCGGGAACATCAGCTAACTTATTCCCTGATTCTGGACCCTCCTTGACTGCCAGTGTCTTGTAGAGAAATCCTGGACTAAGCCTCTACTTCTCTGATAGCCACGTGGGTCTGATTATGCTTTGGTATAAAAATTTGTCATACAGTGTGTTTAAACTAGAAGTGAGAGCTTTGCCTCACTTTCTACCTACCTACTCGGAACGCTGAAGCACTAAGTGTTAACTCAAAAAAGTAAAAAGTAAATCACTACATAATAGAGAATATTAGAGATGAGGGTAGGATTTTTTTATGCGCACCTGTGATATTTTCATTCATAGCACATCAGAACTGAAAGGTACTTAATCCAACACACATGTTTTTACAATAAGAGAACTATTTTCTGGTGAGTTTGTTTTTTTTTTTTTTT